AAGACAAAACTTGTTAGGTGAAAAATAAAAATTGATTTGAATTGAATTTCCTATGGATTTAAGCAATTACAATAAAGATACTTATGTAGATTGTTAGACCTGTAGGATTCATAAGAATTTATTTCTTTAAACACGTTTGGAAGACTTGTCTATAAAGATTTATAACTAAATCATGATATACAAATATATAAACCAAGTAAGGACATATAGTATATATTTCTTCTTCTTATTTGGCGCTACAGTCCAGCGTGAACCTTGGCCTACTTCACAACCTGCCTCCATCTGCTTCGATTTTGTGCACTTATTTTCCAATTTAGAACTCCAGGCTTTCTGGCGTCCTCGTACACATTTTTCTACCATTTTCGCTTCGATCTGACTGTCATATTATCGGATTAGCATTAAATATATTGGCCGGATTTCTTTTAGGTCCCATTCTTACAACATAAGCTGCCCATTGCAGTCCTTGTTCTTTTCGTTGTTTGTTTGTCTTCTAATTGTCTCGTCGTCCATTCAAGTATATATTTAGAGATATTATTTAAATAAGGTTTCCAATAAGCCAAAATATTACTGTCTGATTTAACACACAACGTCTACAATAGATTGATTTTGTCATGAATATTGCATTCAGTTCCATATTTTCTATTAAATATGCAAATATATGACTACCAAATTCACCATCCAACGTCTATAATTGGATGGTATTCACTTCTACATTTTCTATCCAATAAGCAAATATATGACTATCAGATTCGACACCGAATAGATAAATAGGGGAGATACGATAGATAGATAGATCACAATGGATAGATTTTGTGCAGATTGTTGCATACCCTGTTAAAGTTATGCCAATGTCTAATTTAAAGGCTGAATCAGTTGGTCTCTTCTACGTTCATGTATTTTGTGATTCGTGAAAAAAACAAAATACAAGTATCTCCAGCTCGCAAGTCAAATATGCTATTAGAAGATATAACTGTTTACGCTATTCTTATTATTTAGTCAAATAGAGTTAAAGAAATACGATAAGTTCGCCATTATTATCTCAACTAGACCAGTGAATGAACGATGTTCTGGACATTGAAATTGGTTAGTCTGTAGTCCTGGAAAGAGACTTAGAACGAGATTGATAGATTTCACCTCTTTCTCATTATGGCAACTATCCAGACTAATGAATAACGCACCAAACAACGTAAACAGCCAGATAAAAAGAAAGAAGTATGGTTGGAATGGACAGACACTGCGTAAGCCTTATAAAGATATCGCGCATGCTGCACTTACTTACAGACCAGCACTGATCTGGAGGACAGTTCAGCAGGAGACGATCAAATCGTTTAACGAGTTGAGAGCAATAGCACAAAATAGAAACCAGTGGAAAACATTTGTAGACTCCTTAAGCTCCTGATGGAGTATGGAAATAGTAATAACAATAAATACAGCCTGAAGTACCGCCGCATTGTTCTAGTGCACAGTTGACACTACAATAAGCGATCGACTACTTATTATCATTTATTTATAATTTATATTATTTAATTATTATTAAATAATAATTTATTATTATTTATTTATTCATTAATTATTATTATTAAAGCAGACACTACATATAAATTAAAGCCCAATTATTTCTTAAATATGAAGAAAAGCGATTTTAAAAAGTTATCTTCATCCACTGAAATTGAAAACTACTTTATCCAATTGATTATATAAAATTTATTGCATTAATTTATCTTATAGTACAACATTAAAAATTTCATCCATTTCTAAAACGTTTTTGGTTACATATTTGTATGAATTTATATCTTAAAAACTAAAATATAAAATCCTACCAACAATCCAAGGAGCTGTATCTTTTTTCGAAGTATAAACTCAAGAAGCTCGTTTTTCAAAATAAGGATTTTAGTTTTTTCTGCGATTCTAAGTGATTATTTTCAACAGCTCTTACATTCTTGTTCGTATAGAATATTTGTAGTAACTGCGTTAAAACAATTTTTCCTTTTTCCAGCGAGCGTTTTCGTTGGGAGGTTACACTGACCATTAATTTTTCGGTAGTCGCTAGTCTAAATAGTGTAGGTTTGTAAACCTAATTTTCTACATTATCAGCATCTTCAACAACATTTAATTCCTCTGCAATTGATTTTAAAGAGTTTCAAAATGCTATTTATTAGTTACAATTATGTAAACATTTTATAACACTAACTCAAAACGCTATATGCATTATTTTTTGAGTCGCTTCGACAACGTTAAATGGGTACTGACTTACAGTGTCATTCTCTAAAAATAAAGAAGCTGCATTATTAATAAGAAAAATAGAATTAATGTGAACTCTTACCACCATCACCAAAACTATCGCTCCATCCAAATAACTTATCATCCAATTTCCTACCGGAACAATTTTCTCTGATATATAGGAAGCATCACGCTTCCGGTGGGTTCCATGCTTTTTCGCTGCCACTATCTGCTTTAATTGTCGTTTTTAATTTATATATTTATTCTCCACAATTTACAAGAAAAACTTTTAATCGTTGTTTTTAATTTAATTTGTGCTGATAAAAGTAACAACCACCAATAAAATTTCAAAATAAAATCAGCTGATTATGACAAGTCAAAAATAGAGTTGTCGCACTTCAAATTTGCTTTCGCTATTTGCGACGTAATGTCCACGTAATGTTTCATAATTGAGTTCACATTTGCGTATTTTAATAATAATGCTATGTTAATTGCTTTTTATACTTGCATTTATCAAAATTATTAAAATTTATAAGTTTAATATATTTAAATTTGATTATCACCAAATTATTTTCTTTCATACTTTCTTTCAAACATATGCTACAATATTAAAGACTTATAATGTAGGTTATAATGATTGTGCTTATAATGTAGGTTAAAAGAGCACATGTGAAGCATCTAAATTTTTATTTTTCTAGATTTTAGTGATACAGATCAAGACCATGAAAACAAATCGAAATCGTTTATTGCTTTAGATTGTTTTAAAGTTGAATAATAATACATTCACGCATTTGCTCTTTTATATTAATAAGGAAACGTTCATATTATAATCAACTCATTTACGCAGCTGATAGAACTTTTATAAACTTCACTTTAATAACAATATAATAATATATCACATAAAAAAATGAAATGTATAACTGATATACGAAAATATTTAAAAATATTTTATATATCAAATTTATATTTAAATAAGACAGTGTAAATGTGCTATAACGTAGTAATTTTACATTTTTGTGGCAATATTTAACTTAATTTTTCACAACTATTGCTATTTAAAAATTTATTTATTTTCTGGTGTATAGTATGTTTTATTCCCATATAGTTTATATATATTTAATACAATATTGCTATGTAATATATGTCATTTTTCGTATATAACCGAAATAAAAATATATTAAAAAAATAAATAATTCTATATGTTAGCCTAATAAAAAGTTGCAGTGAATTTTGATATATAAATTTTGCGGCGAATTCGTATTTTGGAAATAACTTTGAGTTGGTAGCTCTTGTAGTGGCACTGTTTCAGTGGCAATATAAAATTGACGTGAAGGAATTTTTGTTTACTCGGTTGATTGTTTAGTTTATTTAGACATGGAAGCTAAGAAACGTAAAAGGGATAGACCCATTAAAAAGTGGTCGGAGGAGGAAAATATGGCAATATTAGATTATATCTATGAAAACGGAAACTTTGAGGTAAGTTCAATACTTGTCAAAATTAAATATTTTTAATAAAACATATCGCTTTTTAGAAACCAACCGCGAAGCTGTATTATTTAAAGCTTTTAAATGACATAAAAATTGATTCGACATGGGATCTAGTGAAATATAAAATGCGGTATTATAGAAGGTTGTATGAAAAAGCAAATCAATGGATGAAGTCAGGTAAAGCAGATCCAACTGGAGACAATAGCGAGATCAAAGGTAAAAAAATTAATAACTAAATGAGTTTGTTTACAATATAATATGAATTTCAGCTATAGTTCATAAAATATGTCCTCATTATAAGTTACTCTCGGAAATATTCGAAAAGAAATCCCAAAATGATTCAGTTGTAATGAGTAATTCAGAGTTAGAGTATGAAGACCCTTTAGAGTCGGAAATTGAAGTAACGATAAAGGATGAATATGCAGAAATCAGTACACCTTTATCCTCACCGCATCTAGATCAAGAACAAGCCCAATATGATTCCATCGTCTCTCCCGATGGTACGCCAGTACCAACAAATTGGTCAGCTGAACTGCCCGGTACGTCCGGTGAAGTAAATGCACACAATAGCTCAGCAGATCTTGCGATGCGAAAGGAACCAAAGTCAGCGCTCAATAAACTTGCAGCTTTGGAAGCAGAAAGAATAAGTATAACTTCAAAAAAACTGGAACAGGAGAACAAGCACTTTGAGCAAAATTTGGAATTACAAAAAGAAAAATTTAAGTTCGAAAAAGAAATTCAAAGAGAGCATTTGCGTTTAGAAGAGCAAAAAATTAAACATGAGTTTGAATTAAAAAAACTAGAATTAGAACAAAAGGAAAGACTAGCAATGAAGGAACTCGATTTAAAATACAAATATCTCAAGTGAAAAGAAAGATGCCTTTATTTATTTATAATTATAGAAATGTTATTAAATTATACAAAAAAAAGAAATAATGATTAGAATACAATAAATTAAAATTTTATCAAAAAAAGTATTTAGCTAAACATTTTATGAAATATTTTTCGGCGTTTATTTTCTGAACTGTATGTTGCATGCGAAATACCATCGCAAGGATCTTCAATATCATAGTTTTTTCGTTTGGAAGATAAAATGTGTTTAAAATCTTTATCGTCGCTTAATAAAATATTGTGTAACATACAACAGATTAGGACCCATTTCTTGCACAAGTCTTCACCTCTTTTATTGTCAACGCGTAACCTAAGCTCCTTAAGACTACAAAATCTTTCCATCAGTAAATTAATGCAATACTCTGCCCTTACTCTATATTTGCTATGCTGTTTATTAAATTGAGATCTACTTGTCTCATCCATATAATCTGAATTTTTACTATAAGGTGTGATAACATGGTCCAACAAAGGATATGTAGAGTCTCCAGCTATCCACTGCTCATCAGAAAAAAATTTTCTTGGATTCTTATATATCACACTATTTCTAAATATCTCAGCATCATTAAAGGTACCTAGATCTCCTACAACTGCGTGTCTTATTCTAAGTTTTTCATCACATACTATTTGTAGTTTGTTTGTACACATTTTATATTTGGTTTTTGGGTCTCGTGTGGGAGGTTCAGCAAACTTAATTTCCATTGTATCAATGTATCCAATGCAATGTGGTAATTCATTAAATGTATCTTTCACGATTTTTGATCGTTCCACTTCATTCGGCCAACGTATATATTTTCCAAGTATATTGAAAAATGCTTCGAATACTCTTCGAGTAATTTTGTCCACTGTACCTCCACCGCCTATACCAAATAAATTTGCAATTTTTCGTGTAGAAACATTTTCTGAAGCAGAACCCAACCGATATAAAACAATTGCCAACTGTAATTCAATAGGCAGTTGTTTGTTTGAATAAGGTTTTTGAAAAACTTCACTTTTTTCAATCAACGTAAGTAAATGTTGAAATTGTTCTCTATTAACTCGAAGCATTTCTTTAAACTGATTATCATTCATATGTGGTAAAACGTTCTTATGCCAATCCAGTAATTTTGGAACACTATTTGACGGCGTACGAATACAATAGCGATTAGAAAGCACTATTAATAAATTGTCATGAAACTCGTCCATTATTTCATCGGCATCATCATAAATGCTAGTGGCATCTAGAGTAAATATTTTTGAAATAAATGTCATATAATTATTTGAGTTAGTTACCTTCAACTGATCTTAATTTCAAGATTGTATTCTCAATCAGAAATTTAGTAATTTCTGCTCTTTCACTTTTTCGCGGCATTACTGTAACGAAATTCTTTGCATCTGCAAGGGTACACCTGCTGCAAAATATTTACACATCAGTGTTACCCTTTTGCGTATTAAGTGCGTTCACAATCTATTGATTATTATGTACGCTTTATCTTAGATCGTGTGCGAGTTAGGCTAAGTTGCGTTCTAAATGAGGGAAATTCTAAGTTGTGTCGATAATGTATTGATGTGTCGATACGTGTTGATAAATGGCAAAATGTGTGCAGTACAAAAAATCCCAAAAAATCTCCCATTTGGTTTAGCATCAACTTAGCCTAACTCGCACACGACCTTAATATGTCATTATTTTACTTATGTACAAAATATTGATTTTATATATTTGTGTATGAATTTATGCTTTTATGCAAGTTGACTGTCAAAATAAAATTGCATCAGACATGGATCAAACTTAAATAGAAGTCGTTTGTGTATATCGTTTCCTATTGGAACATCAAACTTTATGTGTTAGTATGAATAATTTATATAAATATGTTTTAATATAATATATATTTTACATGTATTTTATATTTTAGTTTCATTTAAGTTATTAGCACGATTAACAATAGCAGTAATTTATTCTTTCAGAGCAGGAAAAATGTAATATCTAACATTTAAAACATGTTGAATGCCTTTGTTTGACATATGTTCTGTGTTTGACCTAACTCTAAGAATTTTAAGAGCATTGTTGTTGCTTCACATGTTTCCTTTCATAAGTTGCGAGTAGTTTTTTGCTACTCTGAAAGAAAAACTTACGGTTAATACTGAATAACAGCGCAATTAATATTTTAATAATTGGTTGATCGGTTATTCACGTATTTATTTATATACCTTACATAAATTATTTATTGCATTCTTATTAGTTTTACTAAATAAATGCATATTAACAAAAAGCATTGATATAGGAAACACTATAGAAGGTATTCCTTGCAAATCATTATGTAGGCCGTGTACGAGTTCGAGCAAATTGAGGTAAAGTAAATTAAAATCCTAGGAACTTTTTGAACTACATTTATGTATATATTTATTTATTTATTGCACTTATTTATTATTTTTGGTTAAAAGTCTTCAAATTTATTTAGTTATTTATTAAATATCTTATAAAATTTTCGAAATGGTAATACCTAATTTACTTAATTTTTATCTAACATACCCTACTTGAAATTCTGGTAAATACCAACATTCGCTGCCATACCGACATAATTTACTATTTTCCTCGATTTACTCGTCTCGTACATGGCCGTAGTTTTTCTTTTTACTAAAATTTACACATTTATTAAAAAGTCCCACTACAAATGCAACTCTGTATTCGAAAAAAATATCATTTATGTCAAAAAGTTCGTATTTGTATGCAGACCATATGAATTATTTGAGAAAATATGGCGAGTTTGAAATTGTAGCACAACATAAGTGAGTGTGCAGCTGAAATTAGTTTATATTAAAAATAAGTATTCAATATATAAACATAAATTATTGAAATAAAAAAAAGATTAAACAAATGTTTTTATTGCTTTATAATAGTTTTGAAATTCAAGTTATAAAAACGTGAAAATAAAAATTATCGTATTAGTAAAACGTTTTGGAAAAAGAATAAGGTATAACCTAAAAAGAATTGAATTTGTCAACATATACGAGACTGACAGCAAATACGCTAAAGTGAATAGAGAAGAAGCATATATAATACAATATACATACCTATAAGCGCAAAAGAGACAATTGGTATGTTTACATTTTAAACGAATACAAAAGTAATTTTGTCCGTCGTCGTGGTAGTCAATTTATAAAACCGAAATCGTTGTCGTTGTCCAACGAGGCGACTTCGAATAGAAATTTTTGCATTAAAATTTTTCTTCGTGCGTTAATCATAAAAGTGTGTTTAACAAAACAAATTTTAATATATATATATTTATGAGAAATATATAGTAAAGAAATTCACAAATGATATGAGAATCTTAAAAAAATTATATTTAGAATCTAAGAAAAATTGTGTGAAAATGTTTTGACGCTGATTTCTCGGGCGCAAACAAAGGAAAATAAAACATTTTTCTTTGGCTGCCTTGCCTCAGCTTATTTTTTATCAAACACAATTTTGTGTCAAAAAAAATAACAAATGTTTATATATAATTAAAAACGGAGTTTTATTGCACTGAAGTACGGAATTTCATAAAAGAAATAAATCAACTTTATAGTGAGTATAAAAATCCATTTTATTTGAATATTGTAAAAAGAAATTTTGTTGGTGCAGAAGTACAATACATTTTTTGCTGCTGCTGCTGCTGCTGCTACTATTGCCTGGCCAGCCGACATTTTTGTTTTGTAATATCTTTGCATGGAAATTGTATGGCTTATAGGAAATCTTATTGCCTTACCAGAACGGAAATAATTTCGTACAAAAAATATTTGAAATAATTTGCTAATATATTGTACAATTCAATTAGTGTTTCTTATATTGTAAATTATACAGTTTTTTTTTCTGTACTTCCTATCAGTCAGTTATTTTTTGTCCGTCTATGTGCTTGTTTGTCCTCGTCGCCACGAGGCCATTGACTGCGAATGAACTGAAGTTGCTCTGCGTTAAAGCTGCTGTGTCCTCCAATCAGTGCAAATATTGAATTAATAATTGTTTTTCTTTTTATTAAAAATGTTAAACAAAAACTTGTAATTGTTTGTTGTTTTATGATATTAAGCAGTTTTAACGCAGCTCTAATGAACATAATTACTAGATTTTACTTTCGTCTTACTGCTAATCTTGTTGGATTTGCCTTCTATTATCTGAAATGTTTTACACACTCATAATGATTTGTTTTCTTTATGCATATATCAAAATAATAATTTTTAATATTATGTTCAATAATTAAGATATATCCCAATGTTAAGATCTTGCCATATGAATGCTTATACAGTCAATACATTCAAGCTTAATCGGCTGTCACTCTCAAGTCGTTACTAAACACTTGATTTAACAATTAAATCATACTACATTATATTTTCTTATAGTTGTAAATAAAAACGTATTAATAATATTAAAATATTTCAGATTATTTAAAAAAAACTTGAACTCAAAAATTGTATTTTCCATATGGTATATACCTTTTCTATAAAACAACAATGTACAATGGTTCCAATGTACTTAGTTAAATTAGATCCACACTTTTTTGCATCTGTAACTAAAAGAGAAATTTCTGAAATTCCCTAAAACACAAAATAACGTAAATTTCTTACTAAAACTTGTCTTATTAGCACGTCACCGGAATAATTTTATCTGTTTTTATCGCAGCACCAGTGACTCATTGGATTTCATATAGCGTTTCTTGTTTAAAATTTCAAGTTAAAAAACCATTCTGTTCAGAAATACATTGTTCTCTATTTACTATTTCGTTTCTTAATTCTATTCGTAACAAAACTCAGATATCTTCGGAGAATGCACAAAGGGCTGCAAGATAATTGCTTTCTATTTATTCTATTTACGCAAAATATTCAGTTCATTGCTCATAACAACCCTTAAATGAAGAGGAAAGACTTGCATTTTCTTCTTTTAATTGAAAATTTTACATAAAAACATGTTTTTCCGATTTCCCGATTTGCGTAGTTGAAATTTTATTTTTATTTTGTATTTTTATGACGGCTATCAACTTAACCCTAGCGTGTTTTACTACAATAGAAAAAAATGTGAAAGCACATTAAATAATACATATCTATACAGTTTTATGCTAAAATGTAATTAAGTACGCAAATAAGCATTTTGAAATGCGTAATTCATAAGATTTTAGAGGTTATAGCTTTTCACAGTGGAGAGTGTTGCTTATGTTTGAAATCGTATAGAAGTGGAGATTTCTGACTAGTTCTCCAAACATTTTATGCGAAAGACTACTCAAATATTTTTATTGCATCTATATGTTCGCTATATTTTTGTTATCTCTCAGGCTATCTTAAGTTGTACTGAGTTTGCCTAAAACTCTATTAGAGTAGTCTTGACAATGGTTTTGCAAAATCAACACCGATTTTTCTTTTAAAAGACTGTAATACTCCAAAGATACAATACATATGTATTGTCTAATATTGGCTAATATTAAAGGCTTTTAAAAAAGCTCTTCTTTAATGAAATATATACCTCACGAGCTGCCGTTTATATATGAGCAGTAGTCATTTATAATGACTAAGTATACAATACATATGCCCAATATTAGAGGCTTTCTTATAGTTCTTTAATGAAATATATACCTCACGAGTTGTCGTTTTTATATGAGCAGTAGTCATTTATAATGACTAAATATGTATTCACTATTCGCGTTGGAGTTTCATCCTTTGTAAGGATGATGGAACGATACGGTTTACAACTTTATAGTTTTTGAAGTTTTGAGCTACTTACTTTAATGACCATAACAACGCGTTACTGGACTTTAGCATGACGCAGCATGTCTCCCTAGTCGCCTCTGCTGGGTGCGCTTCAACTTCTTCAGTCTCTTACATCAAGTTACAATAAGTCTTTTTCAACTTGATCACTCCACCGGAGAAATACCCCTACGCCTTTATCCTTGAACTATCGCTTCAAATTTATTTTTCATTTCATTTTCAATTTATCGTCATTCATTTTCACGATATTACCAAACTATCGAACCCTTTGGATCTAAATTCGCTGAACTACATATATCATTGATAAAACTTGTACAGCTCGTGGTTCATTTGGATGTGGTAGTCGTCGCCAGCTTTCAGAGAATCGAAGATCTTATAAAAAGTTTTCAGAATAATGCCTAAAATAAACAAATATTTTCAAATGTTTATAGAAAAACCTGTAATTTTATCCTATTATTATTGTTTTAGAATTTTATCAGATTCTTGCTTAATATAAGAAACTCTCCGCTATGTTTAGTGGGTTCCTAAAAAATTCTGTAACTTCTTTGTAATTTCCTTTTCAAAATAAGAGTTTGAATCAAAATTGAATTATACATACAAAATATTTTTTTTTTAAAAACAATATTTTAAGTTGACTTTGTTGTGACCATATCTCCAAAAGATGTGTTCTTAGATTTACGTGATTAATTCTTAAAACAAAAAGGAAATGTTTTCTATAACGTTTCCGATGACGGTAAATGTCTTGATAAGTATGAATAGAGATTGTTCTTAATGATACCAAATCTCTACGTG